CAGCCTTCTGTTTTTGTCTTTTAGTTGTATTTTTGAAGTGGTTGTGCAAGGCAGCAATTTCCAGTGTTTACCTATGCCGCCATCTTGATTTCTCCCCAGTCTTCCCTTTAAAGACCTTTATCTACAAGCACAGTTACATTCTTCGATAGGGAGGCTGGGACCTCAACATAAGAATTTGGGGAGGATACAGGTTAGCCCATTACAGGAACCTGTTGTAGAATGCCTGCTCCCAAGTCCCTAGTAGGGAAAATGAGCCGGAAACACCTGTTGTGCCCCAAATAGGAGGTGCTCAAAGAATGTTGGGTAAGTGACAAAAAGACACAGGATCCAGCTTGAGTCCTGGCCTAGGGCCATTTTAGCATCAAAATAATGGTAGTAGAAGATGATGACCTATTTCATAAGGCAAGTATAAATATTTCTCTCTTTTCCACGTCCAGTGCGGCTAGAAGCAGCGGTGGACAAACTATGGCTCGTGGACCGGATCTGGCCCGTTTGAAATGAATAAAACTAAAAAAAAAAAAAAGACCCTACCCTTTTATGTAATGATGTTGACTTTGAATTTATATTAGTTCACACAAACACTCCATCCATGTTTTTGTTCCGTCCCTCCGGTCCAGTTTAAGAACCCATTGTGGCCCTCAAGTCAAAAAGTTTGCCCTCCCTCCCCTGGACTAGAGAACAGTCTGATTCCTGAGTAGGGGCAGCTGAGGATTGAGAAAATGAAAGAAAGAGACAGACACAGAGATGGAAGGAAAAAGCTGGGGCCAGGTGGGACCACTGTCCTCTGATGGAGAGACTGGGACCCAGAGCCAACACAGTGTGTTTATGCAGCAAAAAGCAGGAAGTTTTACTAAAGGTCAAGACAAAGAAGATTATGTGCATGCTTGGGTGGACCTGAGTCTTATTCATTCCTGGTGCTTGGTTGGATTTAAATAACAAAACCCACCCCTGGCACCTGGGCTGAAGGTCAAGCTGACAACACTCCTGCCTCTGGCAAGGCGTGTTTCCAGGACATGGCTCTGCCAAAGCCACTGGATTCAGCTGACAATAATGAAAGAAATGCCCATGTGCCTTCCCAGTGCTCTCTACAGGCAAGACTCCATGAAGCCACCTGACGTAAATAAGGTAAGGGAGTGGTTTACCCACCGCTGCACGGGGGTAGTCAGGGGCTGCTAATGGAAGCAGGGTTTCTTTTTTGAGTGACAGAAATGTTCATGTGTATTGTGATGACTGCACAATTCTGAGTACTAAATATTGTTTGTATACTAAAAACCATTGGATTGTGCATTCTTTTTCCCCAAATATATTTACTTTAGAGAGAGGAAGAAGGATAAAGAGATAGAAAGATCAGTTGGCTGCCTCTTGCATGCCCCCTACTGGGGATTGAGGCAAACCCTGGGCTTGTGCCCTGACCAGGAATTGAACTGGGTCGATGCTCAACCACTGAGCAACACTGGCTGGGTGGACTGTGCACTTTCAATGGTAAAATGTATGCTTTTAAAATAGAAGGATCTTGGATCCTCACTGGTATAAATACACGTAGATAAATGTGAGTGGGCGAGAAGAAAAAATCTAGTGGAATGCCAAATAATAAAATGTGGAAGGAATGATGAGATTAGAAAAATCACCCTTTGGCCACCAATTTAGTGGAAATTGATTCAGGCCCACACAGATCATCAGGGGAAGCTAACACGGGAGAGGGAGAGTTGAGAAGGGTGTTTCCATAGTTTCACAGCATCTCCC